GAACTGGGGATTGAACTCAGACCCTTGCGCTTGCCAGGGAAGTGCTTATTCTAATGAGCCATCTCCCTGGCTCTTCTGCTGTGATTCTGCTGGGCTTTTGTTTATAGGTGATTTGTTCCTTTTTCTGAACATCTTTAAATATTCTGTTCTTATGTTGAATTTCTGGAATCCTGACTTCTATATGCCTTGGTGTAGATTTGTTTTTTTCATGGCTAACGAGTTCATTGTGCCTCACTTCTCAGTATATCAAATTCTTTTTCCTTCATTGGGAAATTTTTGCCATTATATCTGTGAACAAGTTTTTAAATGTCATTTGCGCAGCCACGGAGATAGCTCAGTGGTCTAAAGCGCCTGCTTAGGCAAGCATGAAGGAACCTTGGTTCGATCCCCAGCACCACATGCTATGCCAGCTCTGCCCCCAGGGTGGGCTGAGCTGACCATAAAAAAAAAAAAGAAAGAAAAACAAATGTCATTTGCTCTATTTCTTTCTTTTTCATAGATTCCAATCAATTTTATGTTCCTCTTTGCATTGTCTAACAGCTGTTGGATTCAGTTTTTAGGGTTCCTTGCTATTTTTAAGAACTCTTTCTTTCCGTCATGACCACTAATCACGATTCCGTCCTCACATTGGCTCGTTCTGCTGCATGTGCTTTCAGTGGAACTTTTAGCCTCCTGGATAGCTCTCAGAACCTGTTTTATGTTTGTTGTTGTTGTTGTTGTTGTTGTTTTGTTTTTTGTGGTACCGAGGATTGAACTCAGGACCCTGCGCTTGCCAGGCTAACACTTATTCTACTGAGCTATCTCCCTGGCCCCAGAAACTGTTTTATGGATTCCATTTCTTTCCTATGTTGAGTGTTTATGGTTTCATTATTATCCGCAGCATAGTGAGACCCTGTACCAAATACATTACAAAAAAAAGGGCCGGGGAGATGGCTCAGTGGAATAAGTGCTTCCCTGGCAAGCGCAAGGGCCTGAGATCAATCCCCGGTTCCGGAAAAAAAAAAAAAATCACCCATTTCAAAGGTTAGCTTATTTTTACTTTTCTTATTGAGTTGTATAAGTACTTTACCTATGTAGAATGTAAGTTCTTTATTAGATAAATATCACAAATCTTTTTTCAATTTTTGGACTTCTGTTTTCATTGTGACTTGTCAGAATAGAAGTTTTCAATTTTTGTTTGTTTGTTTGTTTTTTGAGATAGTGTCTCACTACATCATTCAGAATGACCCCAAACTCACAGTGTAGTCCAGGCTGACCTCAAACTCATGGCAATCCTTCTGCCTCAGTCTACCAAGTGCTAGGATTATAGGGGTACACCACCATGCTCAGCCAATGTTCTCAAGTTTAGTAAATATTAATTAATTTAAAAATTAATTTGTTGTCATTTAAATTGTAATGTTTATTGAAATTTAATTGACCAAAAAAAAATACACACATCTAAAGTTATATTGCTTCTCCTGTTTTCCACAGTGGTAGCAGCTTATCAGCTACCTATTTGTGTGTGTGTGTTCTCACAGACTTTGTTTCAGTGCTTCTCATAGCTGTATGGAGCACATGTAAAGCATTGTTCTTCTTTTACAAAAAGACAATTCTACGAAGCATACTGTTCTGAAACTGCTTTTTTGGTGTTTGATCTGTCATGAGCATCTTTCTGAGGGAGTCTGTGTGTCTGGCTCATTTTTAAGTAGGGGCTGCACAGTATTCCATTGTGTGCATGTGGTTTTCTTTCCCCCTTATAGTATGTGCTAGAATCAAACCCAGGGCCTACTAAATGCTAGGAAAGCACTGTTTTACTTTGTTATACACCCCAGCCCAGCTGCATAGTATGCACTGCGTTTCCCTCCCGGCAGTAAAGATTGAACCCCGGGCCTTGCGTTGCACTACATCCCAGTCCCATCCCCCCACCTTTAATTTATTTTATTATTTATTTTTATTTAGTACAGGGTCTACAGGGTTTATGGGATCTCACTGTGTAGATCAGACTCATAGTGATTCTCCTGTTTTCAGCCTCCCAAGTGCTGAGATTAGAGGCAGGTGCCTCCACACCCAGTCTCAGTCACCTGATCGCTGCTGGTACAGGGTCCTGCTATGCAGCGTGGACTTATAGTAATCCTCATATCTCAGCCTCCCCAGTGCTGGGATTACAGGCGTGCAGCACCATGCCCAATTTCGGTGGCCGGCACAGCGCACCTGGAGTTCTAGGACCAGCATGGCATGTGGTACTGGGGGTCAAACCCAGGTCCTCACACTTGTCAGGCAGTTGCTTAGACCACTAAGCTATCTCCCCAGCCCTGTTCTTGATTTTAGAATGAAAGTTTTTAGGTTTGTCCATTTGGTATGATGTTGACTGTTGGTTTGTCATATATGACTTTTATTAGATTGAGATAAAGACCATCTATTCTAATTTTCTGTAGGATCTTTACCATGAAGGGGTGTTGGACTTTATTAAAAGCTTTTTCTGCAAGGCACGCCTGGGGTTCCAGGGCCAGCACAGCATGCAGTACCAAAGATTGAACCTGAGTCCTTGTGCTTGCCAAGAAGGTGCTTAGACTGCCAAGCTATCTCCCCAGTCCTATTTTTTATTTTGAAACAGTGTCTTTCTGAGATTCCTGGGCAGAACTTGAACTTACGGTTCTCCCACCTCAGACTTCCAATGCTGGAGTTACACACTTTGCACCACTACACCTGGCTCTGTTGCTTTCTTGATAGCATTAGTGGGATATCCAGATTTAAAGTGATGCAGTGCAAACATTTTATACAACTATGTGTATCCTCCAGATTTGTGATTCTATTTGTTTTTTTGTTTTTGCGGTACTGGGGATTGAACTCAGTACCTTCCGCTTACCAGGCAAGCGCTTATTCTACTGAGCTATCTCCCTGGCCTAAGGCCACCTTAACTACATATCAAATCTATGTCTCAAAAACCAAATAAAAAATAAAAATAACATTTTACATTAGACAGGATACAAGGAAAGGATCCGCCCAAAAGAAGGAATATTTGACATAAAAAGTATTAAGATGGTACAGTATGCTAGTGGATAGCAATAACCCCAGATACCTGGTTTTGTTTTCCTTTTTGTCTTTTTGAAACACTGTCTTGCTTTACAGTGTGGACTGGCCTTGAGCTCACTTTGTAGTCCAGGCTGGTCTCAAACTCAGAGCAATCCTCCTGCCTCAGCCTCCCACGTGCTGGCATTACAGGTGTGCAGCACCACTCCCGGCAATCCCAGCTGCAAATTTGAGGCCAGCCTGGACAAGACCCTGTATCAATCAAAATAAACACAAAGGGCTGTGTATGTAACCCAGTGGTCTGCATTGTCTTTGTTGGTTTTTTTTTTTCTCTGTATTTTTAGGGAAGGGTCTACAGAGTGTTCAGGGTCTGACTTCTGGATCAGACTCATAGTAATTCTCCTGTTTACAGCCTCCCAAGTGCTGGGATTACAGGGATTACACACCACCACACCCAGTCTCAATCACTGTGTGTGGGGGGAGCACAGCAGAACTGGGATTGAAACTCTGGCCCCTGAACCTGCTTGCCAGCGCTTTAATCCGCTGAGCTATTTGGCTGGCCCTGCATGCATTGTCTTGCATGCATTAAGGCCCTGAATTCAAGTCCTAGTACCAGGACAAAAAGCTTGGCATGATGGTGCACACTTGTAATCCCAGTACTCTGGGAGGCTGAGACAAGAATTGCAAGTTTGAACCTAACCTGGCCAGTGTAGGTAGACTGTGTCTCACAATAAACAATTTCATTTTTATTTTTTTTTAACAATAAAAAAATTTAGGGGGCCTGCCCATTAGCTCAGTTGTTTAAGTGACTGCTTAAAGCAATCAGGATGCTGTGGTTCAATTCCCCACACCTGCCCTGAAGGCGTTCCTGAGCCAGCCAAAAAAACAAAAACAAAAAAAAAACCAAAAACAATAAAAAAAATTTAAAAGGGCAAGGGTTGTGGCTCAATGCTAACTAAGACCCTGGGGACCACAAAAATAAAAATAATAGGGGTTTTTTTTCCCCCTTCTAAACTTTCTGTAAAGTTGTCAATATATCTATAATACAAAAACTATTTGATTTTTTTGGCAGAACCAGGGATTGAACTCAAGCCCCTTGCACTTGCCAGGCAAGTGCTTATTCTACTGCGCCATCTCCCTGGCCCCCTAAAACTATTTGATTTCTAACCATTTATTCATTAACAGTTTTCTAAGCTTTTGCTGTGAAAACCATGCCAATCTTTGGACCCAAAAGTAGGTGACTGAGTCCCTCCCTGCTTATTTAGAGTCCTTTCCACCGGGCAGAGGCGGAATATGTATTAGTGCTGGGAATGCTGCAGGAGAGAAATAAATACATCTCCAGGAGGGGGCGCCCTGCAGCTGAGCTCTGGTGGATGAGAGGCATTGGTCTCGGAAGAGAGGAGGGTGCAACTGGGCAAGGCTGGTAGCGAGGAATGTCCAGTGTTTCCTAGGCATTGGCCAGAAGTACTGAGACCGCAGCAGCTAAGCTAGGGAAGGGGAGAGTAGGCCAGAGTGAGGCCCATGCTGTCAGCAGGAACTGGCCCAGGTGATAGCTTAACTCAGCCCCACTATGCCAGGTGGGCCAAGGTGTGACTGGGGAAGGGAAAGGCGAAGGAGCGCAGGCCACTGGGCTCCTCCCTTGTAGAGCGGGGCTTGCCATAGTGTTGCCAGAGGTCACTGGAAAGCCGGTTATCACTGGCACTCAGTGACTTCCCACAAAGCCTATTCATTCAGTCCCCAGGTCCTGAGCAGTTACTGGGATGAGCTCTTCTCCAGCACTGGACATGCAGGGGGAACAAGGCGAAGGCTGTGTTTCCTGGGGCTTGCGCTCAAGAAACAGCTGCTCAAAGTCAGCATCGCAACCAAAGGAACAAGGGCGGCTGGGGCTTTTTAGACAGACTGGGCAGCAGAGAGGGCTGCTGCGAGGAGGGGCTGTTCGGGCAGAGCCCTGTAAACCTGCCGGTGTGGTCACTCTGTTCTCTTGCATTTAGCCTGATACTGATGGACATTGGATGGGCCAGAGGCAGGGATGGTCGGCTATGACCCAAAAGCAGATGACAGGAATAACTCCAAGTTTGAGGTGGCGGTGGCAGGGTCTGTGTCCGGACTTGTTACCCGTGTGCTGATCAGTCCCTTGGATGTCATCAAGATCCGTTTCCAGGTACTTTTTCAAAACCCTTTTGCTCTGTAACAGGCTAGATGAGAAGTTCAGTCTTTCTTGCAAAAGCAGTTCCTGAAACTTGGCATTTTGTCAAAGTGAAGTACCTTGTCCCCTTCGTTACCTTTTCTGAAGTTTTCCTTCTCACTCCACCCCATCTGCCACCATCCTGACCTTTTTGATTTTGGTCCCTAGCTGCAGATTGAGCACCTGTCTCGCAGTGACCCAAATGCTAAGTATCATGGGATCCTTCAGGCCGGCAAGCGGATTTTGCAGGAGGAGGGTCCAGCAGCCTTCTGGAAAGGACACATTCCAGCCCAGCTTCTCTCCATAGGCTATGGCGCTGTCCAGGTGAGTGGCAGGGCTCCCGGCCAGGCCCTGGCTCATGTTGCTGGATGGAGGGGCAGGGGGGATAACGCAGCAGGAATAGTGCTGGGGGTGCAGAGAGAGGCACGCCGTGCTCCCCACTTGGCCTGGCGGCAGCGTCTCAAGCCTTACCTTTTTCTTGATCCCATCTTGTGTCCCATTGGCTTAGGTGTTGCACCTAGGAGAATGTTTGACACCGTGTCCCCATGAGGTTGGCAGAGGGGAGTACCAGTGCTTTTCCTGGCTCCTTCTTGCTCAGTCCTTCCACTGAGGGCACACGGCGTGCACTTGCCCGATGGTGGTGCTGGTACTGGCTGCCTTCGCCCAGTGGGCCTAGCCTCTGGGCTGAGCTCTTTCCGTGTGCTAGCTCACTGCTGTCCTGTGAATTTAGTCCTCTTGTCAGTTTGATTTTTCAGGTAAGACTGAGAACAAAAAGCATATGTCCCCAGTACTTAGGAGGCTGAGGCAGGAGGATCACTGTGAGTTCCAGGCCAGCCTAGGTTACATAGTAAGTTCAAGGCCCACCAGCACTATGTGGCAAGACTGTCTCAGAAAGGAAGGAAGGAAGGAAGGAAGGAAGGAAGGAAGGAAGGAAGGAAGGAAGGAGAAAAGGAAAAGGAAGGAAGGAAAAGGAAAGGAAGGAGGGAGGGGAAAGAAAGAAGGAAGCAAGCTCATGTCATCAATCCAACCAAAGTCCTGGGGAGAAGGTGGCAGGAGAGCTTAGTGGTAGACCACGAGCAAGACCCAGACTCAGGCTGGAGCCCCAGTACTACAAAAAGTAAAAATAAAGTGGCAGAGGGAGAAACAGATCCTCGCCCACACAGCTGGCCCTGGCACTCTTGGCACCGCAGCGCCGTCGTGACGCACCCTGCCATTCCAGGCCCCCGTCTGGCACACAGCGGGTATCACAGTGAGGTAAATAAATGCTAAGCTGGCCAGAGGTAGCGGGGCAGGATCTGCGTGTGAGGGCGTCTGCCTGGGGTCCTGCTCCATTCTGACAGCACCACCCCAGCTTTGCTGAGGGCTCCCCACCTCTGGTCAGGCAGTGATCATTTCTCCCTCATACTCACAAAATTAAGTGAACCAGTAGGGTTTTCTTCATAGGCCTATTTATGTATGTATGCATTTATTTTTGCAGTACCAGAGCCTTTTATGTGCTATGTAAGTGTGCTACCGCAGAGCTACACAGGAAGCCCTCCCCCGTCCCTCTCCGTCCCTGTGGCTTTTTGAGACAGGACCTCACTGTATGGCCCAGGCTGGCCTTGGACTCCATTTTCCTTGCCCTCCTCCATAGACAGTGGTGCCTCAGTTCACAAAGTTGATTTGTTTTACGACTGGGGAGATGGCTCAGTAGGATAAGTGCTTGACTGGCAAACGCAAGGATCTGAGTTCAATCCCCAGTTCTACCAAAAAAAAAAAAAAAAAAAAAGAAGGTTCCATTTGTGTTTGTGCGGGGAAGATGGCTGTGGTTGTGTTTGTCACTGATGTGGAGTTTGTGACTGGAAGCAAAATTTTGTCACTTTTGTTTGAGAACCAAATTATTTGGGAGCAAAAGCATTCGTGAACCAAGGCACCACTGTACTTTAAATTTTTTTGCTTCTGTACTGGGAACTGAACCTGGGATCTTTGATCTCTGTACTGATTATACCAACTTATTTTTTTCTTTTTCTTTTTTTTTTTTAATTTTAGGGAAAGATTTATAGGGTGTTCAGGGTCTCACTATTAGATCAGACTCCTAGTGATCCACCTTTTTACAGCCTCCCAAGAGCTGGGATTATAGGAGCACACCACCTCGCCCAGTCTCAGTTGCCATCTCAGCACACCCTGGGAGAGGGTCCCGCACGGCAGGCCCAGGGATCGAATCCCCAGACCTGTGCCTGCTTGCAGGTGCTTTAAATCCACTAAGCTATTTGGCCAGCCCTTCAACTTCTTTTTTTTTTTTTTTTTTTTTTTTGCGGAACCAGGGATTGAACTCAGACCCTTGCGCTTGTCGGGGAAGCGCTTATTCCACTGAGCCATCTCCCTGGCCCCCTTTGTTTTGTTTTGTGATGCTAAGAATGTGACCCAAGGCCTCAGTCATGCTGGACAAGTCCCCTGCCACTGGGCCCCAGCCCCAGCCCCTCCTATACTTTTTTTTAACTGTATGGTAGGACTATCTATGTAGAATGGTATCTTAATTTTTTTTTTTTTTCCTCTCTGCTTGGAGCAGAGTGATCTGAGTTCAACTCCGAATTGTACAAGAAGATCTCATGGTTGTCACTGTCCTAGTGTCTCGGGAGCTCCTCCTGTCCTGAACCTGGCCTCACTGGGGGCTGGTGGTGTGTCGAGAACACCTGGTCTCTGACATCCTGCCTCAGGCCATCTGTGACTTCCTCCCTTGCTCCTGCAGTTTCTGTCATTTCAACTGCTGACCGAGCTGGTCCACCAAGCCAGCGTGTATGAGACCCACGAATTCTCAGCGCATTTTGTGTGTGGCGGGCTGTCTGCCTGCGCGGCCACCCTTGCTGTACACCCTGTGGACGTTCTGCGCACCCGCTTTGCAGCTCAGGGTGAGCCAAGGGTGAGTGGTCAGGGCCAGATGTGGGGGGGATAGGAGAAGGAGGGTGTAGGAGGTGGGGTTCCTGTCCTTGGGGGGAACAGAGCTTGAGGAGCCCTGGGTTCCTCAGATGGTCAAACCCATAACTATGGCCAGCAGTGTTCCGAGGGCTCTGTGTCCTTGCCCAAAAGGACGGACAGCCTCCCGGGGGAGACAGTATCTACTGTGTAAACAGAACAAACAAGCACCCTGTGGTGGGCTGGACGAAGACAGGCATCCTCGAAAGTGGGACTCCTGAACCTGGGCTGTATTACTGTGGGAGTGTCCTTGGTTTCTGCAAAGAATAGGTTGAAAGAGATGGGAAGCTCAGCCAGACCCACAGAAGGACTTCCTGAGCAAGAAGGTAGACCTCCACCACAGTGTCTCTTCCTGGGCACACTTACAGGTGGTGCCGTGTGTGTGTGTGTGTGTGTGTGTGTGTGCGTGTGCGTGTGCGTGTGCGTCCATGCCTGCGTTTTTTCAACCAAAGAAGGACTTTCCCACTGTCTCACTTTTGGTTTCATTAGAGGGGAAGGCAGTTTATTTGGAAATTTCAACTGGGATAAATTTAAGACTCACTGTGGCTTTAATTCTTGCAGTTTTTACATTTATCAAGGTAGAGATCCTGGGTTGGGGAGGCCCTCTTACTGAGATGCCTTGATAACACTGTGGTTGAGCTGGGAACAATCTGAGAGACAAGGGTGAGGTGTAAGGAGAGTGGCGGCTGCGACCCCAGCTGGCTGAAACTCAGCTGTTTATCTGACTTTCCAAGAAATCAGGATTGACTGGGGATATAGCTCAGTGGTGTAAAGTGCCTGCCTGACAAGTGCAAGGTCCTGAGTTCAATCCCTGGTAAAATCGCCAAAAAAAAAAAAAAAAAGAATCAGGATTAGAGAGACAGTAGCCCAATTTTCAGACCAGCCAGTTTCAGTTGTCACCATAGTGAGGTTCCTTCTGCCTTGATATTTTCACAGAATAGCTCACCTACCCAGTTTTGTTCTGTCTCCTTGTCCACATCCTACAAAGAAATTAAATTTGAAATGACCTGTCTGCTCATTTTATTTATTTATTTATTTATTTATTTATTTACTTACTTATATATTTATTTGTCTTTTTGGGGAGGGTCTGTAGGGCGTTCAGGGTCTCACTGCTAGATGGGACTTGTAGTGATCCGCCTGTTTACAGCCTCCCAAGAGCTGGGATTACAGGCTGTGCCACCACACCCAGTCTCAAGTATCATCTCAGCGTGCCTGGGGGCCAGGCCCCTGCCTCTGCTTGCAGGCCCTTTAATCCGCTGAGCTATTTGGCCGGCCCTGCTCGTTTTATTTCTTCTTTAGAAACAAAAGCAAAGTGGCAGCTCTGGGCAGGATCTTTGCTCTTGCTGAGGCCTTCCCGTAGGAGCCTGGTACAGTGGTACTTGGTTCACACACTGAGGGACTTCTGGACCTTTCCAAGGTTCCCGGGGTAAAGTCCTTCGGCGTGGCTGCCAGCTTCTTGGATTTCCAATCTGTGGTCAGCCAGGTGCCCTCACCATACCCCAGCTGGGCCAACTCACAGCTCTTGGAGCGTTTCAAAGCAAATATGAAACTGGTCTACATGATATTGGTTGTAGTAGAGCAGCATACAATCCCAGGTACTTGGGAGGCTGAGGCAGGAAGATTGCAAATTTATGTTTTTTGTTTTTTGTTTTTCTTTTTTTGTGGCAGGCTCAGCCCTCCCTGGAGGCCGGACTGGTATGCATGTGGTGCCAGGGATCAAACTGCGAGGTCCCTGCACTTGCCTAAGCAGGCGCTCTTGACCGCTGAGCTATCTCGCCAGCCCAAAGATTGCAAATTTAAAGCCAGCCTAGTCAATGTAGTTAAATCCTATCTCAAACAACAAAAACTGGTCGAGGGGATAGCTCAGCAGTATAAGCACCTGCCTGGCAAGTGCAAAGTCTTTTTTCTTTTTCTTTTTTTGGTGGAACCAGGGATTGAACTCAGGTCCTTGTGCTTGCCAGGGAAGCACTTATTCCACTGAGCCATCTCCCTGGCCCAAAATTTAGTTTTTTTGGCGGGACAGGGGATTGAACTCAGGCTCTTGTGCTTGCCAGGCAAGTGCTTATTCTACTGAGCCATCTCCCCAGCCCAATGCAAGGTCTTAAGTTTGATCCCTGGTACAAAAAAAGCCTTTTTTTTTTTTTTGGCAGATCCAGGGATTGAACTCAGGCACTTGCGCTTGCCAGGGAAGCGCTTATTCCACTGAGCCATCTCCATGGCCCCCTTCAAAAAAAAAAAAAAAAAGCCTTTTAAGGAGGCTGGGGATATAACTCAGTGGCACAGCAGTTGCCTGGCAAGCGCAGGCAAGGTCCTGAGTTTGATTGCCAGTACAAAAAAAAAAAAGCTAAAGACTAAAAAGTACCTTACTGTGAGGCTGTGGGTTCAGTTCCCCAGTACTACCGCCCCAAAGGTGTTTGTTGATTGAGACAGGGTCTCACTGTGTAGTTTATTTATTTATTTATTTTTTT